TATTTTCCAACAAAATGTTTTGAATGTTTTTGTTCATGGTCTCTTTTGGCAAAACTGAAAAGAATAAATATACTGTACAAAAATACCTACCTTATTCGTATTGAGAGAATTTAATCCAAATCACATTTTATATATTAGCCTTAATAGCAACATAGCGTTATTCGTATCCCAAACACACCTGTAATTCATCCTAGTCCTCGTTAAAACCTAATCATAATATTCTTTCAGCATTGTTTTAAGATGATAACATTGCATGTACTATTTCCCACACAACTGACATCCTCCACCTGTCAAAGTCCATTATCCTACAGCATGATTTTATCTAAACATTTTCTTTCGAGTCATTGAAATACCCACTGATAGCCATTGGCCATACAGGTGTCCAGTTGTGTCCACTCACGAGACTGACCACTAGAGGTTATCGGTCAGAAAGAAGTGACGGGACAGTAATAGAGGTCACGGTGACGTCGTGTAAGAGGCTTATTATTGATAAAGCTGAATTCTGAAATGCTAATGCCATGATTGTCGGTTGTCAACAATGCGGCTTACTTCAAGCCTTATCTTGGGGATATTGATATGTCATCAATCAAAGCGGTCAAGGAAATGACCCGCGTGCTGCAAGCCTGGACAACTCGCTCTATATATCTTGTGTCTTAATATTTCACGTTAACCTTTTATCAATTTATTTTTTCATACATTTTTATTGGAAATGTCAAATTTGTAATTGCTCTAATCTCATTTCATTGGACTTTTTTGTGTCTATCGTAACCCCTATACTTTAACATAGACTCGCAATGGTGAATCTATGCCTTGATCGATTCTTGACAAGAAATTCTAGGGTTTCTAAAAATGAATTCAAAAGCCTAAAAGAAACAAAGTGGTGCAACCCCAAAATCGTCTTCTAAGGAATCATATATATATAAAACTATACACTTTTGAGATATGTCACGACTATTTACATCACGCTGAAGAGAAGAAAACTACAGGAAATTACGTTTATAACGAACTGACAGATATAACTTATTTTTGGTCCAGGATATTTGCTGTATATATGAATAAAATATGCTTATAACGAACTACAATTAGTGGTCCCTTTGAGTTCGTTATAACCGTAGTTCATCTTGAGTGGATTAATTCATAAGACGTTTCGTGGTCACTTCACTGGTCTCGGGTAGCAAAGTAGCCAAAAGCACTACACAGTTCCCTTTGCGGGGTCCTGAGTCTCGTTCATTCACTCTTGTTGACTGTACTATATTTCTTTTCACATGCAAATAAACTATTTATTTTGTAAGTGTCAACCAATTATATAACCTTACACTTTCTTAATACAGTGTCCATAAAGGAACCAAATCATGAACATATAACATGAAAATCATAACATGGTAATTAAAGTTATCATTAACCAACATACCCACACGTTCGCCCTGTCACCTGTGGTTTGGGACCCCTAGAGAAGGTCGATTAGCATAGCCTTAAGAAATGTATATAATACCATGACCCAAGATTACTTTGTGCGATGGGTTCATTGCACTGGGCGCCATTCACAGCTGAAATCCTACTCATGAAACGTAATATGTAGGAATATAAACATCGGGTACAGAAGCACGGACCATGTGAGTCACAGCCTAGAATTGCACGGTGCTCAGACACTTCGAGGCGGATCGTCTGAACTAAAGGAGCTAGGGTAGCATGATAGAATCAGGTCCTTTAAACAAGACTTTTGGGCTTGAACATTTAATATGTGTGTGTGTGTGTGTGGGGGGGGGGGGGGGGGGGGGGGGGGGATGTGATTTTCCGTTCACTCCTTATAGACAAACTATCATTTTCTCCGAAAGTAGGAGACTTTCAATTGTTTTCTTCATTCACATTTTTCAGGACATCCAGTTTTTCCAACAAACAATTAAATAAAGTTGAAGCATAATTATTTTATCCAATATTTTCTCAAACAAATAAACAATTCAAAGGAAACCTAAGGTGGTTACCCTGTATAATACTTCACAGTGAGTGAATAGGGTCACGAGTAATTTTAAGGCTATGCATTTCATCAGACTGGAGGCGGGTCCGCCTTTTAGACAGATACACTCATGCCCGCATGTGTACATCTTGTATATTTGTTTTTTATCGTTATCTTTAAAGGAACATCGTTTTCACGGGTAATTATTGTTTTAGCACGCATTGCTTATGGGTTAAGGGGACAGGTATTAAACTGAGGGATGGGTCATATTAAATACCAAACTGTCAGTCGGGGCTGGTTTTCATTGCCGTGTGCCTACAAAGGTAGATTAGTATCTGTTGTATAGCACACTAGGTCAGAGAGTGTTAGTATGTTGGTCAGATGTCCTTAAGGTCAAGTCTAGATCTAGTATATATGTTTAGAACTAGCGCGAAGGCATGGACTTTTACGTTGAGTGAGTGAGTGAGTTTTGATCTCCATTTTCGTTACATGACGGCGTGTCAGCTTGGTGTGGGAGGAAAGGTCGGAGTGGTGCAGATGTTAGACGTTCACCACGTTGGTGAAACTCACAAACACGGGTATGATGCTGAAATGCTAATGATGGGTAAATCTGGGATTCGTACCAAGGATTACCGGATCCTTATATTTCTAAGGGATGCAACTCTGCAAAGGGGACTGTAGTGCTTTTGGCTACTTTGCTACCCGAGACCAGTGAAGTGACCACGAAACGTCTTATGAATTAATAAATGGACACGCACGTATTGCATTTTGATCAGCTGGTTTTTTCATTTACCAGGCAGAAAACGGAAACTTGTTGATGACAATCTACCAGATTTAACATTTATGATAACGTGGCTTGCTCGTGGCTATAAATCACAACGTTTTCCGGTCGTTTTGTTGTCTGCAGTAGTAAAAATCTAGATGCGTGATGGGATGTGTCTAGCCCCAAAGACAAAACAAAAAATTCCCAAGGCTCCAGGCTGATTTTGTGTTCGTGAAGAGTGTGTAATTTGTCATTTCTAATGAGCATCTATTTTCACTCAGCCTTTACAAAATATGTTCAGAATGGACCACAGAAAATATTATTTTCAAAAAACAAGGTATTTATTCCATCACTGGTAGGATTGTGTGTGTGTGGGGGGGGGGGGGGGGGTACTCATTTATTATGAGAATTTTTTCAACGTCGAGTTAGAAAAAGCCTGCCTTATCACAGGCTTCACACATCAGAACCGTTTGGGGACTCGAACCAGGGTCTTCGGCGTGACATGCGAAGGCCACATGCCTGTCCCGACATCACAGTGTCCATGTACAGCTTGCTCCTCGGGATAAGACAAAACGCTATCTGTATGGTATCCATCAGCATCCATTGGTATCCACTGGTATCCGGTAGTATCCATTGGTATCCATCAAGCACAGTTGACATGGGGTCATCTCAACACACATTCTGACATTTTAAACTGCCGAGGTCAAGGTCAAATAGGAAAACCCATGTCGATAACTCAGGATCCTTTTGAATGTTACCCGATACCCAACAGTGGTAAATGTATAAATAAACAAAACATAATAATGATTATAACAACTTAGAATCTTATATAGTAGAAATAAAGTTTTATTTATCTGAAATTGGGTGTGGTATATGTACCACAGGGGGGCTTGGTTAACAAGATGTGTGATACGGCCACAGAACCATTCCTAACGATAGCTCATCGCCGCCATGTTGCCAGACAACGGCATAACCGCTGTTGCCTCGATGTGAAAATGCCTAACATGGACTCCGAGTCTTATAACATGTTCTTAAGTGTTTATAGATGTTCATCGCATAAAACGGACAACAAAATTACAAAATGAACATCAATTTCCGCTTGTGTCACCAACTCGTTAACGAAAATGTCCACCGATTAAACCACACCAAACCATTTCCGCACTCCTATTTTGGTATTGCATCTTTGTTGACAGCGTCCCGTTGCACAGCAACCCACGTGCTAGATCGATTTCCGTAAACTCCTGCACACTGTCCCGTGACAAAAATGATATTAACTTGATGGAGGGGGATGTAGTGTCTGTGAGCAGCGTTATCGAGCAATCAAACCGATAACGGTTCAGATGCTAAGCCGATGTGATGATAAACACCAAAACGACAGCCTCTTAGAACCAATGAGTGCATATGTCACGCAACGTTTCAGCTCAAACCACACCTTATCAATAAAACATAGTCATTTCTACATACGAAGTATACAAACGGCCCAACCATTCACATTCTACCCCTTTTACTATTCGCATTGCGAGTACAACTCCGTCCCTCTTTCTCACGACGTCTTTCCACTGTAATGAATCGTACAACGCATAACAAAAGAAGCGCTATTGACAAAAATACGCGGAGGCATTATGTTGACAGCTACCTGAAGCCCATGCAGGTCATATCCTTTGTGGGACGGTGGAGTTTTCGTCGTTAACTCGTCCATGTAGAAACTTACTCCGGGGACGCGGCTCTGTAGATCAACACACAATCCACGGAATCCACAAGACTGGCAGTGCCTTTACCTACCGTTCCATGTTGTTCGGACCAAGTGGAGGCTACCCGTTGAGCCGGCCATCTATATTTGTATTGTACGGCTAAAGGAACAGGTTGAACTGGGTACTCCGTACAATAGCTGTGTTTCCCGACTGGTCTAACGAGTTCCACAAGCCGTGTAGAATGAGCACCGCGACAAAGTCGAAAAGTTCGGGGTAAGGTGTTTTTCATTCATTATGCTATTATTTATAACCGAATCTTATAGCTTGACGAAGACGCTGCAGAAGAGATGGGGTCGGAACGCCATAACGCGATGGAATTTCTACCTGGGATTTCACCCGTATCGTTAGAATTGCGATACTGTATTGGCATAGGTTGATGTGCATAGTTTATTTACCAACAGTATCGGACCACGTGTATGAGGATACTATTTTAGGATAATCCCGGTGTTTCTCGGATGTTTATACAGGTAAGTGAGTAGATCAGGATTGTGGTGTGACAGTGTGCTATACGTCCCGTGGTGTGATGGTGGCTATATCGCTACTGTCGCGAGCGTGGTTGTGTTAGTCGTCGTATGTGTTGTCTGGGGCATTGGTGTTAAGATGTAGGCAGCGAAGTGTGAACAATATAGTTTACAACCACCTGATTCCGACAGAGAACATACACTAACCTCGGTAGCTATTATCATAAATTCCCCCTGTTTCTTAAACAGGCATGTTAGCTTTTTTTCAACACGCCGTTCTCAAGAAACGGGATCCTGAGCTGGAATAAGATCAGAAGGATTTAATTAATGTTTTGGTATGTTGGTATGACTATTTAACAGGATTTAAGTAGTCATAGGACTTTTATAATTGGTTGTGTGAATGGGTGAATATAATTGGTTCCAAGTTCCTAATTTGACAAGTAGTTAAATCGTTTTGGGTCCAAAGAGTGTTTATAGAGGCGCTATTGAATTGCAATTAACATGAATGCGTTTAACTGTACATATTAATTTGCCAAGCTGAGTGTAATTCGGTGTTAAAACAACACGTCGCGACAGTCCAACCGCAGGACTCAACCCCACAGACGGACTCAATGGCATGTTGTTATAAGGACTAGGGCTTGGGATCTTAAAAAGCCGGACAATCACTCCCCTCGGTTCAAACCAATCTACCCCTAAAGAAGAAACCATCAAATTGGTGAAGACGACACGAGAGAGAGAATAATATGTATCCATGGTAACCATAGTTATGCAAAGAAAAGGTAGCACCGCGAGGGACACAGCAATAAAGGCGAACCATCCATGCGTAGCTGACCACTGACGAACGGAGACATTTCCCCAGTCAGTTAAGATCACCACTACCCGTGAGATGTCCACGCAGTGGTGAAGACCTTCTGACCATGTGGTCAACGCCATAATCGCTGGACAGTGTGTTAAGTGCTTGGACCCCGGGGCTAGTGGACCGTGTAGGGTGTGAGCTTCTGTGTTCGTGCAGTCCGCTCTATTGATGTTGGGAGGGCGTGTTGGGTTACGTCAGTGCTACCCCCACACACGGCTGAGATCGCCGGGTATACGAAATTGTGATAGTTAGGAACGACCATGGTAAACATGCGGAGCTGGGGCCCCGAGGAAGATCTTTCTCTTGATGGATTTGAATTATCCGATGGCGAAATATCAGCAATAATGTAAGTCATTCTTTCATTTACAGACACTCAGTTAATACCGAAATGTGACATTTGTTTCAGTTCCGTGACATTTCAAATATATCATCGAGTATTTCCGTGTTTTCTAAACAGCATGAATTATAATACGTTGATGTTCGTTGATGTTTTTTAATTATTATTTTTAATCCAACAGTAATCTCCAAACTCATACAATTTGACACTACGTATTTCCGTGACTTGTCACACACAGGCAACCATTATAATAGTGCAAGGCAATATCCGACATGGGGACTCGCCGCATTTACATTATAATGGGTGGCAGAACACACTGAGATATTTATTACCGATATAATTGATGATCATAATTGAATTATTCAACTTGTGATAAACACCTCAGTGGTCAGAGCTCGGTGATCGATAGATTTATTTTATCATTGTATTTGTGCAGAATGGGGGAACATCAATTACCCGTTCAAACAGCACTACGAGTACATACTGTATTTTAACGCTGCATATCGAGTTGCACAGAAAATCGATGGCACGAAATTATAGATGATCCTTTTAAGAGTAAAATTATATGTCAAACGATAGCATGTAGTTATTGCCTGTTGTCGCACAGAATCTCAGGGCATGTCAAGGGAAGGTTACGATACATGTTCAAGGGCTCAGATTACATGGCCCGAAAACAGGACTGCACAGCTGACAGTCGTGTGACCTCGTCTCTGTGTCCAGTCCCTGAGTTATGTCTATGTACTTTTGTCATATTTAAAATTCTGCCATCAAAGTCTAAATATGAAAATTTTTGGTTTCACATATTTTCATAATATTATTGATATATATCCTCTCATGTTCATAAATTACACTTTTATGTCTCAGGGCCAATTTTATTAGGAATTACGCTGTTTAATAAGAATCCTCTGAAATTCAGTTTATGTTCAAACGTAATCCAAAGTAAAATTTAAATATTAAATAATTTGGTTCCCCGCTTTGTGTACGCTGGTTTATGATACTGCACCCAATAAACACACCCTTAGTCCCGCCCACTTGCTTATGAATTATTCATATATGTTACTGCCGGTAGGCGAAATAGTATAAAGCGTGAATAACAGATGCACCCCTCTTGGCGCATGAGCATGTCGCCAATGAAATTGTTTTTAAATTTAAAAATATAACATATTTACAGTCGTACAATATGACAATCCTATTTCTTAAACTTTTTAGTTATAGGCCGGTAATAATTTATATGTGTCGTGCTGTAAATATGGTTGCTTTTGTATCAAACAAATTGCTTTTAGTTGCTTTTATTACACATATTAGGTACTTTTAAATTTTCTCTGTACTGTAACCTGAAGTGGTTTCTGTCTATGAGAAGCAAAAAATGAAGTTTATTCTTAAAGATTTATTCGCTTTACGAAATGTGTTTAGTGGGTTGGATGTGAAAGGTTCAACCCTGTATGACACAGTTTCGTGAAATGAGGTTACTGGGTGGGGCCAGTGATAAAACTGGCGATGCACAATTATCACGTGAAACATACACATCAATGATGTATATTTCTAAGCGTACATTTCACCATAGGCAATTGTCTGTTTTACTGGGTGGAGTCAGTGTTGAAACCCATGCGAATCACACCAAACTTGTCTATTTCAGGATTTACATTTTACCATAGATAATTGTCAGTGCTGTTGGGTGGAGCCAGTGAAAAAAAACCAAGATTCGCAATTATCACGTGAAACATCAACACCAACATTGTCTATTTCAGGATTTGAATTCCCCCAGACAATTGTCAATGTTTTTCAGCTGTGTCATTGAAACATACACTTGTCTATTTCACTATGTGTGTGCATTTCACTGTAAACAATCGTCAAGGTTGACGAAGATTTCGTGTTGTATTTACAGCTACGTATTTATTATTCATACACAAGTATCCTTTTGACTATTAGGAAACGCAATTGGTGATTCATAACCATTCGAAACGAATGCTATTTCCACATATATAATACTTATAATGTCAATACGACCGTTCAGTCACGACACCAAGCTATTCAGTGGGAAACGCTTTGCAACTTACAGTTAACAGGCGCACACGCCTATCACGTTAACCACCCCCATGCATTCATACCGCTATAGCTGGATACAAGATACAGAAACTAAACAGCTGGAAAGGCCGTATGACACGAACGTCAAACTTAAGTCAGTTGTAAATGCCAGTCCGACTGAAATAGCCTTGTAGTCAAACTGCATGAATATTATATTTGCCAAATACACATATATAGATAAAGGGACCATGTCATGGAACCCAGACAACTATGTATGTCGTAAGAGGCGACTAAAAGGATCAGTGGTCAGACTCGCTGACTTGGATGATGCATGTCATCGATCCCAAATGCGTGGATCGATGCTCATGGTGTCAAACACTGGATTATCTGGTCCAGACTCGATTATTTATAGACCGCCGTCATATACCTGGAATATTGCTGAGTGCGGCGTTAAACAACAAACAAACAAACAAAAATCATGGATCCCATTCGGAATTTGGAATTATTCTTCAGGACCTTTAATTGCATCCCAAAAAATTAGGTTTTAATGAGGGTCAATATGTATATAGTAATTTCCATGTTTTTTGTTAACGTTTTGTGGGATAAGTAGGTATATTTTTGTCGTTTCTATTCATTTGTTATTTTTTTTCTTCTTTCCTTCCTGCGGAAGTATGTTTGCCGCAGGACATGATTCCGACTTGCTCTGTCTTGTTATGTATCCGGGTAAGTTCCGAAACAAAGATTAATGATGTGTGTAGTATTGAAACAATGCTTTTGGCGTTAATGAACGGATGAAACGGTGTTTAACCCCACAAAATCCCCTAACACCCCACCCCATCCCCATGTGACCGACCCCCTCCTCAAGCCCAAATTACCTATTCAATCATGACACTGATTGCCAGACTTGTCGATCAATAAGTTTCGTTACACCTGATTAAATACCAAATTAGCATGTATTATATTCAGCGCAATTATCGAGGCCTTAGAAACAAGACTTGAATGGACTTGTATACGTTTGATGCACCCAAGCAATGTTTCTATAGGAATTTTCACTGAGAGCATCACGTTCCCTCACGGAATGGAATCGGTTTCAATGTGCCAATCAACGACTTATACAAACAAAACTGGCAATCGGTCAACTGATACCTGCAAAAAGCAGGTGTGACATAATGAAATATACATCGGTCAACTTTTGTAATGTACAATAGCATTGTTCACCCACCAACCGCATTATTATCACGATGTGAAATTGACACTCATTCATATCACGTTGGAATCGAGAGTGACATGAATACATATGGTTTTCACCACCTGACACAATTCGCTGATGTTGTACATGACGATATAGACTACGCTATCATTTCACGGTTCGTGGCATCGTTGTAATTACAGATGACTTTGTTTTTCAAAGAAATTAATCAACTTTTGACTCGGAAAGAAAAGTAAACATGAAAATTATTTCACCATGACTGACGAAATGGATGTCCGAGACTTTTCATTGTCAATAGGGATGAATGTATTCTGTGTTTATGTCAAACAATTGAGACGCTTATTTCACCTCTTAGGAAGATTATTCATTTCACAGATCGTATAATCTGCACAAAGACCGCATGTACTTAGAATAATTCCCAGTAATCCATTTCAACAGAATAACAATACATTTCAGTCATTACGTGTAGGTTTACATTAGGTGTAAGCGCTGTATTCCGTATTGACCAGCTACCGTCGGCGCTTAGTATGTAAACACTAAAAGCACTTATCGCAACATCTCCGTCTAAAACACACATAGTCACCGCCCCAGGCAAAATGCTGCTTGCTTGTTAATTATTTACAAAGGTGGTACCGATACAAGATGTTTCAAATGCGTTATGCCAAAGGCACATTTTTTTGCAATCAAGGAATGAGTCTCAAGAATGTTCATCTAAACGCCGCCGCCTAATCGCATAACAGCCCCCACCCCCCGTGCTATGTCTCCCTCGCCTTTGCCCCCAGGGTTTTCCTCGTGGCCTTCCTCACTAGATAGCGATCGTGTCAAGAAATGGGTAATAAAGTTACTTCATTTGCATACATCTCTTTCTTGTCGCTTATCATAAAAAAGATGTATGTCCATGTGATAAATCACGTGACCATCGTGTGATTATCTTGAACGATATCCCACACTCTTTTATCGATGCTCGCGATGTTAATCGCTACCTGCATTCATCAAAGGACCGGTCCTTTTAGATGTTACCGAAAGCAAGCACTAAACGCCTACAGGTTGTCGCTTTCGCTTAATTGCATGTTAAATGCATGATGTGTGATTTCATGACAAACTGCACATATTATACAGTACCCATGAGACTACCACCGCTATAAGACATAACGCATTAACATTAACACAAATGTTGAAAATATGTAAAGCCTCTTTCAATTTAAGGATCATATTTTCTTTTTATCCATCGTAGAACAGGTAAAAGCTTGTCAAAGCTTCACACATCGCTGGTAGACAAACACATTTCAGAATTCGAAAACGATCTATTTCAAAATTTTACCATCAGTCTCAGTTAATGCGGTATTTGTAATTTGCTTTGAAAGTCTCCCCGAGTTAAAAAGTACATTCCATTGTGGTAAATAGAAGTAAACACATTGTCATATTTTCTAATATTCACATGAACGCATATTGACATGTTTAATAGTATGTCAATAACATGGTCATCTCGTTCTCTCCTAGATTATGGGGCCTCAGGTGTGCGACCCTTGGGGTCACGATGACGTATGACCACTAAGATAAGACACTTAAGACGCATAGACCATTATGACTTGGTGACCTTATTTCTCCCTTGTAACAGAGCCGCTCGAATATCATGTCCTTTTGAACTTGAAGAACCTTAGCGTAACAAGAATTATCTATGCTCCCTGATCTATGATATCCCTACTGATCTCAACAGAAGATATATTTATTATCCCCCACATAGTTTATGACCAACACCATGTGAAATCTTCTC